AGGAAAGGAAGTGGGCCCTTCCCCTTCGAGTCATTGAACCAGGAGACAGTCCGGATTAGAATTCTCTACTTCATGCTCCGCATGTCTTTCTCCGTCTCTCTACCGTATGATCGGAACCTGTGCCTGCCTAGTGGCTGTCTTGTGAATCTGGCCCTACGTCTTTTTGTCTTCTGTTCAGTGTGTGTTGTGGCTCTCTGTGTCTGTGAGTGGTGTCTGCTGTTGTATGAGCTCTGTGTGTGTGTGTGTGTGTGTGTGTGTGTGTGTGTGTGTGTGTGTCTGTCTGTCTGTCTGTCTGTGTGTCCGTGTGTCTATCTGTCTCTCTGTCCGTCCATTGTAGCTGTCTGTATCTGTGACTGGTATCTGTCTGTTGCATGAGCTCTGTGTGTCTGTCTGTCTGTCTGTCTCTGTCTGTCTGTCCGTTGTAGCTGTCTGTATCTGTCAGTGATGTCTGTTTTATGAGTTGTGCAGGTGTGTGTGTCTATCTGTCTGTCTGTCCCTAACAAAGGACTTTGCACTGTCTCTATTCAAGAGCATAAAAAGCTCATACAGCGGAGAGAATGGGGTACTTGACAGCAATCTTTAACAGAGTTTTACAAGGGATGAAATCGTCACTGACTCTAACTGATCTCAACTGACCCAGATGACAAGCACCATTGTCAAGCAATACTCATAAATGGATGCTTTCAACCTTTGTGATAGATTTCAGACTATTGCTGTACTTGCTGCTTCCAGCAAATGATACACATGCATTATCTGGGTCAGGGTCATGGAAGAGTAACTTAAGATTTCAGCTATGCCTTGCTTCAGTTATAAAAGTTGATCACACGGAAAATCCAAGGCATCTTACATTGTTCTCTTAAAGGAAGGTTCAAGTGAGGTTTGGAGGCACAAGGCTTTAATCCCAGCACTCGAGAGGCAGAGGCTGACAGGTCTCTTGAGTTCGAGGCCAGCCTGCTCTACAGACAGAATGAGTTCCAGGACAGCCTGGGCTACACAGAGAAACCCTGTCATAAAAACCAGAAGAAAAACATTTTAAATGCAGGTTAAACAAACGGGCTGAGTGCACAGTAGGACAGCAGTCTTAAATCTTAGGTGACACCAAGGTGTGTTTTTAACTCTGGCTGTGAGGCCCAACAAAAATTCCAGTCTCTTAAAATGTAAGAGAGATTTTCAAAATATTACATTGCCTCACACGTAACTCCCTTGAGACAGTATCTTCCACTAAAACTGGAGCTTGTGTTTTTCAGCCAAGCTAACTGCCCATCAGTCTCCTGTCTCTGCCTCCGTGAGGCTGATGTCACAAGCACATACTGCGACAGCCGTCTTTCACACAGATGCTGAGGATCCAAACTCCCATCCTCAAGTGTCCTTACCCCCTGGGCCATCTCCCCAGCTCTCCTTTCTCCCTCCTGTGAAATTTCCAATTGTGCAAACAGCATCACAACAGTTTCATGGAACTCCCAGCGCAGGGACACAGGGAATCCTCATCCACTGTTCCCAGAAGTCAGCACGGTCACAGCCCCTCCCCACTCGCCGCTCTTGGATGAATCAGAAGTGTCTGTCTTTATCACAGCAGGACAGCTCTTGCCCGTAGTCAGCACCTAGGAAGCAGAGGGAGAATCGTGAGTTCAAGGCAAGGCTCGGCTGTTTAGCCAGCCTTCCTGTCTTTAAAAGAGAAGCCACCGTTAATGTGTTTTAACCACAGTGACACTTCACTTTCATCTACCTGTACGCTCTCCCAGGCAGCCACAGAATGAAAGGGAGACTCAGAAGTACTGTACTCAGAAGTACAGTCTAGGGCCTCAGCCACTGCAGTATCTGTCTCACTTTCTCAGGACTGCTGGAAAGTCTTGGTGCTGGACCCACCTAGCCGCCATCATGGCAACAAGGTGCTCCCAGCCCACTTCCTGGCAGCTCCTTAAGGGGCCTCTTCATTCCTGGGTGGCACTTTACTCCTTTGGATGAACTGGATGCCGGGGGTGGGGGGTGGGGGGTGGGGTCCTCCATATAGTGTTACTACTTGTGACCTCCAAAGGCAGACGCTCTCTTACCTAAGCCCAATCCCTCCCCATAGCAGGAAGTCTCCACGCCGTCATCCCCCGGGCCCACCACAGGCACGCTGAGCGAAGGCACATGCCAGTTCAAGGAAAGAATTCCCCAGGGAGATGGCTAAGAGGGGCAAAGAGGCTATGGGGGGGCAGAGGGAGCAGGGACACAGGGGGCCCCCAGGACCTGGACAGAGCAAGGCAAAGCCCTGGGATGGACATAGGCAGAGACCCACAAGAGGACAGAGACCTGGGAAGTCAACGGCCCTGCCACCAGAGGAAGAAATAGCAGAGTCAATGAGGAGACGAGTGACTCAGATTGTCATACATTTAGGCACAGGGACCCGGAGAAACCTGGAAGCAAGCAGTTGATGAGGCTCTGGACTCCAGTGTCCACCCAAGAACTCATCTGGGGCAACCTAGAGGCCAACTTTGAGAGAGAGGATGGCAGGTGGTTCCCTGAGGACACGTCACGGTCCCAAAGCCTAGTGGATAGATCCCATCAGAGGACAGGAAGTAAGAACTGGACAGAGGTGCCCGGTGTGTTCACAGCTGCCCTGGGACAGGTGTGACAATCCTGCCCAGAATACCTAAGGGGAACTGTGCCTTTTGGTTCTCTGGGGGGGGGGGAGGGGTTCTGGTCCTCATGACCCTGGAAAGTCTTGAGAATCTGTTTGGAGATCGATGGTTAAGTGTGGTTGTGGTGGTGGATTTAGGGGGTCGGGGGTAATGCTGTGTAGACTGAAGGTTACCTGGAGTGCTTGTAAAGGGACACAAGGTCTCTAGTTCCAAGGAGGGAGGCCATAGACCAGACCACCGTGATAGAGCCTAGAGGGGTGAAGGTGGGAAAGACATGTTTGCTTTGCCAAATCTGCGTCTAACCTTACTATAGTTGCTGGAAGTGTTCTTGAAAAAAGGCTTGTATGTTTCTTGAGTGACTGTTTAAAGACACTGTTTTTAAAGCATTGACAGTACTGTGTTGTGACATGCTAGCTGTGTGTGGTTTGGCCAGATCACCACAAGCCAAAGAAAGAGTATACTGTAGCCCCGCGGTGTTTGTATTGCCTCTGAGAAGGGACAGAACCTTCGCTAAGATGGGCAGATCTCACCCTGGCCACCCCCAGCCTGGGCCTGGCCCCTCCAAGGATCCATGACACTGCTGGTCCTCTTGGCCCACACAGACCTACATGGACCACTGCCCAGAACCATGTGACTTAGACTTTACCAACTGCATGGGATCCGGGGACCCTGGCCCCTGAGGAACTCCAGGCCTGGCTCATAGACCACGCCCACCCTCAGGTCCACATGGCACTGGATCATTAGCAGGGCATGGCGTTGTTCATCCATCATCCATGGGTAGCCAAGAACATCGAGGAGGGGAAATGACAGCCCTGCTTCTGTCCCAGGTTGCTATGGAGACCATGTCCAGGCAGGGCTGCATGGTGGGAATGTCTCAGGGCCTCCCTCTGCTGAAGTCTTCTCGCTCACTGCAGATAACTCCGTCAAGTATCTCTGGCTTCCTTTCTGAGCTAGAGGAGACTGCTTGCATACACCTTGCTGGCCGGGTGTTCCGGCCATCGGTTCTCCTCTCATTCATTTCTCTCCATCACTGGCCTCTCTTGTTTGCCTCTGACTGCTGCTCTCTCTGTGCCTTCTGAGGCTGAACCTGAGCTGTGGCAACACAGCCTCACTCTTTGCCACCCTGGGAGGGAACCATGCCCAGTAAGTGTAGTCAAATGCCTCACATTGAATACAGTGAGATACAGTGCCCTGGGCCATATAATTGGGTATAATTCCCTCACTATGTGATGCAATCTGTGAGAAGAGGGGGCAGGGGGCTGGAAAGGGATCAGCTGGGGACAATCTCTGTTTTGCACTGGCCCTTTCTCTACAAGTCCCAGTTGCCAAATGGCTGCACAGGCCAAAGGCAGAGGGAGCTGGCAGCAGAGGCGGGGCTGAGGCCAGAGCGTATTCAAGAATGCCTCTGTGGCTGTTTCCTGTGTGCATATCAGTCCTCCCTGCAAGTGTGTGCTCAGCAAGTCTGGGTTCCCTTGACCCTGGCCTTCTGACTGTACCTATGTACTTGACTGCAGGTTCAGCGGCTGGCATCACGTGGGTCCCAGCAGGGGGTGTTTCAGAGTACCAGGGGGAGGTGATATGTAAGTGTGAAATGTATGTGGCAAGAAGCCTGTCAGTGAGATAGGCCCTTGCTGAGAAGAGCCCCAGGGCCCTGCATGATGTGTGGGGCATCCCTGACAAAGCCCTGGTAGCCATACCATCCAGATCATCTTTGTTTCGGGGAGTCCCGCAAACCGTGGGAACCTCTCCTCCTGTCCACTTGAGGGACAGTGACACAGCTAATCTTTGGAGGCTCCTGGCTGTGACCTCTGATATGGCTGGAAGACATGGCTGCTCTATACCTTCTGCTACCCAGGGCAGCTCTGTCATGCTGGATGGTCTCCCTGGGCCAGGACAAAGCCTGGACCCCAAGTTTACTCAAGAATATACTACCTCCAAAGTCCGGGGTTTTATGGAAGTCCTGACACTCCCACACCAGCATCCCACTGGCCCTTCAAACAGAACTAGACCAGTCAACCAGAAGGCTAGGGCTGAAACATGCAGGTCAGACCTGGGGTACCTCGTACAGGAGTGGGAAGGTAAAGACATCTGGGGGGAAAATCCCAAATTCTCAAAGGACAGAAATATGAATGCCAGACAGAAGCCTCCAGCCTCTAGGTTATGCTAAAGGAGGAGCCCTGCTTTTTGGGGGTGGAGAATCACATCCACAACCTGCAAGAAGCTACAAGCTCCTTGGCAGGGGGACTGCTTAGGAGATTCTGACCTGGGGTGTGTCTGAGAGAACCGTCCCTCCCCCCAGGGTTTTTAGAAAATGGTCAGAGAAGGTGCACACACCCCTTCCTCACAGATCTTTTTTCTCATCCATCTCAGAAGTCCCCAACGGGCCCTGGAGGCCCCTCACCTTCTCTCCAGCCTGGCTCACAGTGTCAGAGGGAGCAAATGCCACCTTCACCTGCAGTTTCTCCAACTGGTCCAAGGACCTTATGCTGAACTGGTACCGCCTGAGCCCCAGCAATCAGACTCAAAAACAGGCTGCCTTCTGCAATGGATTCAGCCAGCCCGTCCAGGACAACCGCTTCCAGATCACACAGCTGCCCAACGGGCATGACTTCCACATGAACATCCTTGCCACGCGGCGCAATGACAGTGGCATCTACCTCTGTGGGGCCATCTCCCTGCCCCCCAATACGCAAATCAAGGAGAGCCCTGGAGCAGAGTTGGTGGTAACAGGTGCGGCTAGAAAAGCCTGAGCAGGAGACCCCCTCCTGCCTAGGGACCTGCTAGGTTCCCATCTGTAGCTCTGCCCAGCACCTTGAGGACCCTGTCCCCCTCTCTCTGGAAATCCTCAGATGCCCATTTATCTTTAAGGGATGGTGGAGCCTATGGAAGTAGGTTGGGTGGCCAGTCACTGCCCATCCAAAGTGGACAGCCCTTAGGACTTGGAGAGGGCAGGACGGGTGCCCCTAAAGAGAATACACTATTGGTGTCCTAGAGCTCTATCCTTTGTGGTCCTGTAGAGAGAATCCTGGAGACCTCAACAAGATACCCCAGTCCCTCGCCCAGGCCAGCAGGCCAGTTTCAAGGCTTGGTCATTGGGCTCATGAGCGTCCTGGTGGGTGTCCCTGTATTGCTGCTGCTGGCCTGGGTCCTAGTTGCCTTCTGCTCAACAGGGACGTCAGGTAAGGCTCGTCATACCCCTGCCCCTGTCCTACCAAAATCAAAGCCTCAGGCCTTGCAAATAGCCGGGCTGGCCAGTCTCCACCCACTGTGCCTCCTTCCAACACTCTGCCGTCTACATTCCTCAGGGCTCCTGACTGTCATGGCGCCTTGTAGTCACCATACTTCACACATACTTTGACCATCGGAAGGGCCTGTGGTCACCAGAAGGGGTTTATGTCACCATACTTCGCACACACCCTAACCACTACAAGAGCCTGTGGCCACCTGACCCACAGCTAGCCCCAGGATGCTGGTTTTACTAACAACTAGTGAGAGTTGCCATTTTGTGCGGCTAGAAGGAAGGTCTAAGTCAGCCTTCGGGCCCTGTCACAGATGGACCATTCCTTCAGTGCCATCTCCAGGGGCCCCCTAGCTAAGTCTGGTCATCAGGCAACTAAGAAGCCACATGGAATATCTGCTGCATGCCAGCCGTGTGCTATGCGCACCAGGGAAGGGGATGCAGATATGCATCCTTCCCTGTGGCAGGCCCATATTCCACAACTCATGGCCCAAGTAGGAACTCCCAGTTACTGAATGGGAAGGGCATGAGTGGGAATGGAAAGCCTGATGCCTGCCCATGGTCTAGAACTCTTCAGGGCCTGGAAACTCCTACTCCAAGACACGCACGCACGCACGCACGCACGCACGCACGCACGCACGCACGCTGCCAAGACATTCTCAGCAGCTGCCCTCTAATTCAGAGTATGTTTCTCTACAGAGGCCAGAGGAGCTGGAAGCAAGGAACAGTCTCTGGTGAGTCTGGGTCCCCTTTGTTGAGTGGTCCGTCTCAGTCTACCCCCAGGACATGGTACAGGCAGAGAGACCATGGAGGCTAGGAGCTGCAGCCTGGGGAACTAAGCTCATACTTCCTACCAGAACTCTAGAGCCATATCCTGCTGCTCTTCCCACCCGCTGACCCCAGAGTGCATAGCCCTGTCATGTCCAGCATGGTCACCGCTTAATCTCTTCTGAGCAGAGACGAGTGTAAATGTCACATTTTGGAATCCTAGACCTTTAAGAAGGCCAGGAACCATTTAGAGATAGAAACTGAGCCGGAAACAAAGGGGCTGCATGCCAGATCTCAGAGAGGGCAATGGGGAGAAGGGACAGCTCTTAGGTCCCAGCTCCAGCTTCAGTGACTGCAGTCTCTAAGAAGAACCTCAAATCCAGTGATAGGCTAACCCGGCGTAGGGGATGGTTGGATTAAGTGATGCACACACTACCCCCAACTGACTACACAGATGATGACTCTTCTTCTCCTTCTTCTTCTTCTTCTTCTTCTTCTTCTTCTTCTTCTTCTTCTTCTTCCTCCTCCTCCTCCTCCTCTTCCCTTGAAGAAGCAGGACCCTTCAGCAGCACCTGTCTTCAGTGTGGCCTACGAGGAGCTGGACTTCCAGGGACGAGAGAAGACTCCAGAGCTCCCCACCCCCTGTGTACACACAGAGTATGCCACCATTGTCTTCACTGAAGGGCTGGGGGCCTCATCCTTAGGACGCAGGGGCTCAGCTGATGGCCCTCAGGGCCCCCAGCCTCCAAGGCATGAAGATGGACACTACTCTTGGCCCCTTTGACCAGATGCTTCAGCCATCAGCATCCTGTAGACTCTCCGCAGAGAGCACCGGTCCATTCCTCCATCAGGAGGAGTGTGCAGGCTACCGTGCAGCCAAGGCTCCCAGGGTCTGAGCCATCTGGAGTGACAGCCCAGCACTTGTACCAGTTCCAACACATGCGTTGTTGAGTGATGGTTCTCTTAATGTTTACCACAAGCTGGGAGCAGCAGGCATCCCTGTTCCCTCTTGTCACGAAATGCAGAGCTGGCCTGAGCCTAGGTCCCCTGAACCCTGCTGCTGGGTACTGTCAGGGGCTCGAGTCACTGTAGCCTATGGCCTCTGGGGACCCTGTACCTGGAAATGGGGGAACCCTGATTAGAGACTGCCTGTGAGGCACCCCCACACCAAGGAACTCCAGGTACACAGTAGACACAGCACCTAAAGCTGCCCTTGAGAGACACTCGAGTGGGAAACTCATAGGCTGGGGGACCCAGGGACCCTGACCTAATCCGAAGACCTGGAGAGGTTCTGGTGAAGACCAGAAATGCCCCTAGCTTCAGGGGGTCCAGGAAGCATGAGCACTCACCGGGCAAAGGCTCTGTGAGCGTCCCTGCTGTCCTTCTGCGTGCACAGGTACCTCAGCTCTTTCTACGGCTGGGAAACTGAGGCAATGGAAGGAACTGACAGAGCTAGAGACCCACCCATACCTTCAGCGAGTGCCTCTCCCTACTCTCCCCCTAGGGACCAAAAGGACAGGTCCCATGTCAGCAGCAGGGAAGGGGAAACAGAGGCACATTTTGACTTCTACTAACTGTGGCCGTCTTGGGCAGCGATTTAGGTGTTGGGGTCCCTCCATTCATCCTCCCCTGGAATCTAGTTCTGGCTCCCATTCACACTGTGGCCATGAAGTGGACCAATGGTTTTAAGGGTCCCCTTGGCACCTCAGACAAGCAAGGTAGCAAGAGCTTAGCTGTCTGGTGGGCACCCATCTGGCCAGGGCTCAGGAGTCCCTTTCCTCTGGTTCTAGCCTATTATAATTAAATGGTCACAAAAGCTTCAAGTTCTGTTCTATTTCTGGCGGTGTTGGGGCAGGGGCGGTAAAGGAAGAGCTGGGGGGCCATGCCGAGGCTCCAGGCGAAGTAGGGCAGGTCACCACCGTCTTCATGCCCAGCCTGAGTCAGTCCTTGCCATTACTGAAATACAGTCACTCCCTAACCTCATCTCCATTCGCCATCCTCACATTGACATGTCAACACTCAGCTATGGAAGACCCCAAGTGCAGAGGTGGAGGAAGAGCCATGCTCCCCACACCAGGGTTTCCAAGGGTCCCATAGCTACAGATCCCAAGCCTCAGCCCAGCGGGAAGGTGCCCTGGTGTCCCCCGTGCCCTCCTCTGTGAGTCCTTCCAGGCGGGCTTGGTGCCATGTGCTGGGAGTCATCTCAGGAGGGTGGGTGAAGTATAACTGGTTATGAGAGAGGTACCTGTGGGTCCCTCCCCAGGGCACAGGACAGGACGTTTCAAAAAGGATAAATTTGTCCCCAGCCCATCACTAGCCTGGGATCTTGACTTTTGACCACAGAGGAAGGCCGGCAGCCCTCCCCAGCCTCTCTCTGGAGACCAGACAGCTGCCTTTGGGTGCTGCAGCAACCCACACACTCCCTAGCCCTTCGAGTCCCTCCTGAGCTCATTGCCATTGAGCAAGGGAGAAGGAGATGCCATGTCCTCAACAGGAAATGTCAAAGAAGAGATGCCAAGAGTAAGCCAGGGTTCTAGAAAAACTCACCGGGGCTACAGAAAGAAACCTGGTCACCCCGCTGAAGAAGGTGAACATTAAGCAGCTCTCCACTGTTCAAGAAGCCCTCTTTGGTAGCAGACAGTTGAGTGATGGCCCGCTCCCTCTATCACAGCTACAAATGAGGCATTACTTAGGGCAGTGGTGGTTCTCTACCTCCCTAGCACTGGGACCCTTTAATATAATCCCTCACGTTGTGGTGACCCCCAACCATAGAATTATTCCGTTACTACTTTATAACTGTAATTTTGCTATTGTTGTGAATCATAATGTAAATATCTGATATGCGACCCCTGTGGGAGTCGTGACCCACAGGTTGAGAACTGCTAACTTAGTAGTATACGAGATGGCTAAAGAAGAAGCCAGGGCACAGATGTACCTCCCCACAGGACACAGGGCTCTGCTTACAATGGCTCCATGCCACAGATATGGTAGCTCTTCCTACTTGGTCTATAAAGTCAACATCGCAGGCAAGATAATCACACAGGAAGGATGAAAGCAGGCCCCAATGCTCGTGCGGGGACCAGCAAGGAGCAGCCTGAAGTCCCTGAACCTATTAGGTGCTGGCATCCCCCTGGCGTGGTATTCCCACCACAGACCACACACTTGCACAGTAAATACTTGCAAGAAGGTCAAGTAGGTGAGGGCGTGTTCCCAAAGGGCACGGGTGCAGGGCACACCCTAGCTATGCAAGAGCCTCAGTCAAGGAACAATTCAAATTAAGATGGACACGTCGGGCTCCCAAAGTGGAAGGCAAAAGCCTGGAGGTGGTGAGAAATCCCGTACGCAAACTGGTACGGTAAAACATCCATACCATCACACCAAGATCCAAATACAAGCTAAACGGAGATCTGGAAGTCTGAGAAGGAGAAAATCCAGACTGTCATGGAAAAGTTGGCAGGAGACGTAGTCATCAGTTCACCAAAATGTGTGGTGCACATTCACCTTTGCCTGCTTATACGTGGGTGCGTATACAATGTGCATGTCCATGCATGTGTTATGTGTATATCATCTGTTTATGCACATGTGTGTACAGTTGTGCATGAATGTGTTTGCCATATGCAGGTCACATGTTCATATGCATGTTGCATACATGCCTGTGTTCACACACCCACATCCACACACGCCTTAAACACTGAAAGAGCATTAAATTTTACTCATCATTCCCCCAAGCTTATAGCATTCACCTTTGTCCGTCTGCTCCCTGTGAGGAAGGGGCGGGGGGGGGGGGGCACAGGGCTGTCAGTGCTGAGCCAAAGCTACACACACCCAGCCACAGGGATCTGAACTGGCCCAGGTCCTCTGGTCCCCATCAGCAGGCTCAACAATTTGATCAGACTCAGCACAAAGTGCAATAGGGATGGCCAGCAACTCACTGTGTCTGTAGACAACCAAGTCAGAGTTGTGCCGAAAGACAAGGGAACCAGGTGGGCAGCAAAAAAGACCAGAATTGAAATCTGATAAATACACCTTGAATGTGTTGTTACAAGAACATCGTTACGAGTTAAAAGAAGAACATCGTTATGAGTTAAAAGAATATAGAAGGGATGGAGAGTAGGAAGGAGTATTCAAAAAAAAAAGGAGGGAGGGAGAAGAGGAGGAGGAGGAGGAGGCACAGCGGGCGGGAGGAAGTGGTCGTTCACTCAACGGTTCTCTGAACCTCCCGCCCGGCTCTGGGCTGCAAGGCGCTTCTGGGCCAGGCCATCCGGTGGTGGCAGCCCCGGTTCAGATAAGAACTGAGAACAGCAGGGACCTGTCAGCACTTCACATCCGCTTTCCCGTAAAGCAGCCGCTGCACCTCCCCGCACTCATTTTTTCCGTCTCCTCGCTCTGCCCCGGCACATGTGTCACCGCCTGGCTGAGACCCTGCGCCTACCCCCTCCCACTGCGCTGTCCCTAACCTCTCACCGAGGCTGCAGCCTCAAGCGGGCTCTTGATGTGGCTGGCTTCTCTACCACAAATCAGAGTTGACCCGGGGGGAGCAGGACCCAGGTGTCCAAGCTATCTACCCACGCTGAGCCCCACCCAAAGGGTTTCTTCGCTTTTCTCTCCGCTCCCCGCCTCTCAGGTGCTGATGCCCTCCCTAACTGGTTGCAGAGGTGGACAGAGGCTGCTGATTCAATTAGGGTCTGGCCCTATTGGATGGAGGAGGCAGAATCAACAGGAATCTGCCAGAAGCCTAGCCTCTAGAAGGCAGGACTGGCCCCTAGACCCCGTGTGAGCACTAGAGGCTGAGCCCTGGTGGTCTCAGCCATACAAGGTCAGTGGACTGGACCGGTGTGGGTGGGGCCCCTTTGCGTTAGGGGAGCTCTGGATTTTTTAAGGATTCAAGATGTGGAATTCCTTCGGGGACAATCAATCCATCAAGGCTCAGCGACATCACTCCCAATCACTGGGGCCGCTCAGGGCACACCTCGCTTCCCTTCTTGAACAGATTCAAAGTTTGTTTTGTTTGAGACAGGGTCTCACTAGCCCTGGGTGGCCTGAAACTCAGAGATCTGGCTACCTCTGCTTCCAGAGTCCTGGGATTAAAGATGTGCACCACCACACTTGGTGCTTAATATTTTGTAAAAGTGTGTGTGTGTGTGTGTGTGTGTGTATGTGTGTGTGTGTGTTTCCACAGATTATGGGCATCATTGGTATGTAAGTGTCTGTGGAGGAGAGAGAACATTTGATCCCTTGGAACTAGAGTTTCAGGCAGATGTGAGCCACCTGGTGTGAGGGCTAGGAACTGAACCTTGGTCCTCTGCAAGAGCAGTGAACATCATTAACTGCTGAGCCATCTCTCCAGCCATTGGAGAGACCTTAGGGTCTCTGACCTGGTCAGCCTCCCCTTCTCACTAACAGGATCCCCTGCATTTGTCCAACCTCCAGAAACCTGACCCCAGGGTGTGGCCAGAGGGGACTGCTACCAGGTAGCAAGCACCCAGGGATACCTGGTAGACATTAGTACACTACTGACCTGCCCACCACATGGTCATACAATCTATAGCTGTTTTGAGGGTTTTTTTTAATCTCAAAACTCCAGAACCAAATCATTACACGGGCAGAATGTTCTTCAACCATTAATAAAATAAATAAATAAATAAATAAATAAATAAATAAATAAATAAATAAATAAATAAATAAATAATAAATAAAGGAATGCTTGTGTTCCACATTCACAGGAGCTTCGTTCATGAGAGTGAAGAGGTAGAAGCAGCCCATATGTCCATCAGGGAAGAAGTGAATGAACCAGATATGGTCCACCCGCACAATGGAACATTAGCCTTGAGAGAGAAGGAAACTCTGACATGCGCTACACCATGAATGAATCATAACGACAGTGTACTTGGGGAAGCAAGCTGTCTGCGTGAAAGGCAAACTGTGACTCTGCTCACACGAGGAGTGAAAGTCGGAGATGGCAAGTCAAACGGTGGCCACCAGGACCTGGGGGGGGCGGGGATGACAAGTTCATACTTAATGAGGACAGAATTCATTTTTATAACAAGGATCTTTTTCTTGTCTGGAAGGGCAGTTCCTGAGCCCAAAGTGCTGGCAGGAAGATGTGGCTTTCTGCCTAATCCCAGAAGCTGCCTGAGCTAAGCGAAAGGGAAGGATTCCCCATCTGTGAGCATGTGAGGATTGGCACCCCTCAACGAAGTAGGGGGAAACTGAGGCCCCAAGAGGGTTATCCTTAGCAGTCAGAGCTTGCCAGGGTAACAGGATCTACAGGACCTAGAAGGAGAGACTTTTAGGGCTCTTGTGACCAGGACAGGCAGCAGGCCACCAGATGTGGGGACAAGGTGAAGCCAGTGCTCAGAATGTATCCCTTCTGGAGGGAAGCTCCTCCACTCAAGACTTGCACAGCTGCGGCAAAGTTCACACGCTACACCGTCCACGGTGTCTCTCAGTCTGCCACCGCAGTCATTAATCTCATCTGAAAATGAATCCCAGTGACAGCTCAGTGGTTAAGAGCAGGTACTACTCTTTCAGAGGGACCTAAATTTGGTTCCCAGCACCCACATCAGGCAGCTCGTGACTGTCCATAACTACAACTCCAACTCCAGCGGGATCTAAAGCCTCTAGCTTCTGCAGGTACCTCCAATCTTCCTTCTCCCCCACCTCTTCTCTCTCTCTCTCTCTCTCTCTCTCTCTCTCTCTCTTTCTGTGTGTGTGTGTGTGTGTGTGTGCATGTGTGTATATGTGTTAAAAAAAAAAAAAAAAAAAACACCTTCCCAGCAGCGCCTGGGCTGTGTGTGACC